AAACAGAATAAAAATAAAAATAAAAATTCTGAAATGCATTTACACGAAAAATAAAGTATCACATTAGCATTTCATCCTTATTCATTATCATTTATTCTTTATTTACCAAAACTTTTTTATTATTTTTCTTAAATTAAAATTTATTTATTTACCAATTATTATGCAAGAACCAAATGGTCTAGAGCAATGCAAAGGACAATAATTCTTGCATTTTATTTTTCGTTTTTTCTTAAATTTAAAATTTATTTATTTTACCAATTATTATACAAAAATCATTGTCCAGAGCTACAATGATTCTTACATTTTATATTATTTTCTTTATGAATTTTTCTAACTATCACCGGGGTGATGATCACTGGTGACTGAAATTATGACAATCGACCAGCATTAAAAAAATATAGTGCCGGTAAAAATTGATAATCCTGGCCAACGGTGCCCCGGTGATGTGAAGTAAAAACCTTTCTTATTTAAAATTTAATTTATTTTACCAATTATTATGCAAGAATATTGAATATTGTAAAAAACGAAAATTCTTGTATTCTTTATTCTTAAATTTAAAATTTAAATTTTATCCCCTCGCTTTTCTCTTGCTTTCCCTCTTTCCTTCCTAGGAACCCAGCTCGTTTATAAGACTAGCGATCCACAGACAATTCTAGGTAGTTTTAATGCGCAATTACAGGGCAAGCTCCTCCTCTTGCTTGAGGAAATGCCCACAGAAAAAAAGCCAGTGGAATTCATTGTATCGCTCCCTCAAAGATAAGGTAACGAATGACAAAATAGAAATCCACGAGAAATACAGGACGCCAACACAGTACAAGAACTTCATGTCGACTATCTCCTTTCCTTTCTTCTCTCTCATTCCCTTTCATTTTCCCATTCCCATCCCTCTCACTCTTCTTTCTCTTTCCAATTATTATGCAAGAATATTGTTCAGAACGTAACAAAAGACATTAGTTTTTGGACAATAGTTCTTGAATTTTTTCTCTTAAATTTAAATCTTGATTCTGATAATGAATATAGAGAGGAATGAGGACAATAACATTAAGAACAAGACAATTAGTTTCTCCGTGATTGATCACGTGAGTGAAGAACACATGATTTAGAAGGTGATGTAGAAAAGTTAGAATGTCACTCTTCAACGCAGTTTCCGACTCCAAACACGAAATTTATTTCATTTTACATCAATTGGTCCCGCAGAGCCTGGTAGCAAACAAAGCTGCGCTTACGCGCCAAATCATATTTGAATTTTTTACATCTGTTCAACAATTACTATACCAAACGATTTGAACTAAACATAATAATAACCTTTGTGAATGGGAAAAATCTCAGCACATTTCCAAGAAAAACAAACGATGATATAGACGTCCTACAAAAACAACTAGTACTAATCTGACATCACATACCACGCAAGACTCACCGAACCTATCCCCGGATGATATAATATTAACTCCACCTCCTGCACCCATGCATTTGCACCCATTTTTTTTACCTTTTCCGTACAATGCTGGTAATGCCTAGTGTTGTTTTATAAATAACAGGAAATACGATTTCTTCTTTGAGGAGGTTGGGTTTATAGGCGTATAGTGGGTAAAGTAGTTTTCCTTTTGCAAGGGCTCCCATCATTGTCTAAATTTTTAAAATAAAATAAATAAATATCAATGAAGCTTTAAAATGGCTAACTAAATCAGCAGAAAACGGAAATAGAGAAACGAATAAAACAAGGAAACCATCAAATTATTTTTAATGAACATGAAAATTCATGACTTTACTTTAGTAAATACTTATTAAAGTAAAGAAGCAAATTACTGAATTAAAAATAAAGATATATTAAATTATATAAACGAAATCTATAAGACTGAAAAGATGACTAAATCTAAGATATAGACCGAAACGCAAAACGATAATTCAAATCTTTTATTAGTTTATTCTCAATATTTTAAATTTAGTAAATTTAGTTCAATCATTATCATTTAGTTCAATTAAATTCAAAGGGAAAATTTCTAGACGAACTTATTAGTTTCTTAATAGAAATGCAAAGTTTATAGATATCTCTTTTTATTTTAATTTTTGTGTATTCATTCATTCATGACTTAAAATTTAATAAATCTTGAATATTTTTTTTTTTTTTTAAGTAAAAATTTTTGTATTATCAAAATAATAATTAATCATGTTCGATCAAAAAAAAAAACTGAAGTTCTATATATAAAATAATATGACTAATAATCATTTTGCAGCATCAATATAATAATATAAATAATGTAACGGTTGTTCCGGCTCTGTGGCAGGACATAATTATTAATTTATGCAGGCCAAAAAAAATCCTAATGCAGGCCATCAAGCATAGTAATATATCATTGTACATATCAAGAAATATGAACTAATTTAGGCAAATTACTACATTATTTCTCTTTTTTTTTTTTAAAAAAAAAAATAATTTTATTTAACTTGCATGCATTTACGTAAAAAGTATGTATAACCACGCAGTCATCGGATAAGGGATTTGAAGAATGTATGCATTACTCATAAATAAATCTCAAAATAGTTTATTTTTTTTTTTAACCTTATGAATGCATCATTAAAATTACTTGGTACAAACCTTTTGTGCTCCAACAAAAAAATTTTTTCGTGATATATATTTATTGTGATAACAACTCCGAAGAGAATTTTGTGCATGTAACAACAAAAATTTAGAAATAAATTATTTGCAAGTACCATCGTTATATTTTCATCAGTTCAATATTTGTAATAATTCAATTAATTTTCCTTAGGTTTGAACTTATAAAAAATGTGCAAATATAACCTCGATTATCGTTATTTACCACTTATTTACCACTTTGAACGAAGGTAATGCGTGAAATACCATAAATAATCGTGATTGTACAGAGAAAATAATCGTGATTATACAGAAAGTTCAATCATGCACATCATGTATATCATTAATTTTAATTTTATAATGCCTATAGCTTAGGATCATCAATTGGGCAGACTTATAGCAAAAGGGAGGGCTCAGCCAAAAATTTTTTTTTGAGATTTTATTTTAATTATATATTACTTTATTTAACCTTTCAGAAAAAAAAAATTTGTTTGTAATATATTAATAAAAAAAATTTTTTATTTAAGAATTTGCAAATTTTGTATTTTTCTATTATTGCATTTAACAAATAATATAAATGTTTTAGAAAAAAACTAATGCTTTTAATGAATTTCTTGCAAAATTTTACCCTAGTTTGCAAAAAATTGATTTTAAAAATCTTTAAAAATAATGGAATAAATTATAATTTATTAATTAACCAATAATATTAAACTGCAGTTTTTTTGGAAATCACGTGATTGTCCGAGCCCCACCTGCCCAATTATCGATCTATCAAAATTTAAAAGTTCAAAATTACGGGTTAAAATTTTCAAATTATTTTTTTAAAGAAAAACTAAATAAATAAATAAATAAAATAAATTATCCAAATATGTTCATTTATTGACTACTTTCCTTTGAAAAATGCCTCATTTAGGTTCTTTATTTTTTATTAAAAAAAAATTTTATCATAACAAAAAATGACATATGATCAATTCTGAAACGCCAAACGCCAACGTACATCGGAGTTCTTCTTAAAAGTGTAATATTTTTTTAGAATTATCATTTAAAACCTGTTAAAAATAAGCAAAACTTGATTAACCAACTAAAGATTTCTATTTTTTTTTTGTTTATGTAAAAATTCATTGAAAATTTTTTTTGCTACATATTTATTTACGTATTCATTTATTATTCGTTTATTTTTATGTTTCACATATATTTGCATCAGTTATTCTATGATTAGATTAAAATAATCAATATATTTTATAATGAATAATTTTTTTTTCAATCACCTCAATCACTCCTTTTACAGAAATTAATATCTAAAAAAAGTCTCATGAAATACGCCCTCGATGATCACATTGTTCTACAGCATTTTTTTGCATTTTTTGCGTATTCATTTAGTCTTTCTTCGTTTAAACGCGAAAAAGGAAATCGCGTGATTCATGTGATATCTGATAAGGTGATACCTGGCCAAGATTGTGTTGGTTTGGCCAAAGGATCTGCAAATTTTGTTAAGGCATTATATAAACAATTGAGTATATTTATAGACTAACGTGTATTTTACAAAGTCAACATTGTTATTATGGCAAAATTTTTTTTGTTGAATTAACTTAAGGGATGTACAATATCAAACGTCTAATTTATTATACGCATTAATTGCTGCGTTTATTATGCACGATTTTCTTGCAAGATGTTATGTTAATCAAAGAATTGGCTTGGAGAGGCCTTAATCGTTAATTGTACATTACTGATATATTTACTGCGGCCTTTCTTATTAATAAAAAAAAGAAAAAGAAACGAAGCATTGGATGAACACTTCTGGAAGTGCAGACCCTTTATCGACAATAAAAGAAGTCGAAAGTTTCAAATTTCTTAGAAAAGATAATGAACGTATATGATATTAAAGTATTGTTAATATTTAGCTTGAATTTTTTTGCATATGTTTATATGTCATCAAACAAAAGACTTTTTTTACAAGTCTTATTTTAAAATCCGATTTTGTATTAGGTCATATAGCGGCGAGTTCCTTTTCAAAATATATATATATATATATATGATGTAAAGAAATATATTTATACTATTTTATACTATATCGGGACGACACTAGAAATTATATCATTAATCGCCACATATTTTTTTTTTTTTTTAAAAAAAAAGGATCATTATTCCCGGATTGATAAACAACTTGACTGCTGAAAGTGCAAAATTATTCAAGTTTCTCCTTGAAATCACATGTTATTGAACATTACTTGTAAAAAGACGAAAATTTTTTATTTTTTGACGCTTTGCAATTTTTGGTGGTACTTACTTCCAATCAAAGTAATTTATACGATTTATACATTATCATAATATATTCAAATATTTTTATCATAATGAATATAATTGTAAAATACATGGGAAAAAAAATTTATAATAAAATAATATCTAACTAATAATAAGATCTATTATCTTGATTACCATTATTTTGAGAGCTAACTATTTGAAAATTATCATTCTGTTGAGAAAAAGGAAGAGGAGTATTTGTATAATATTGTTGATGAGAATGATTATTAGGTACATATGTATTAGAATTTATCATACTTACATAAGTACGATAATCTTGAATAAATCTCTTTTGTTCATTATAATTATGCTCACAAACAATTTTTGGTTTCAAAAAATGAATTAAGTCATTTTTCAAATGAACTTTGAGATATTCCCGATGTCTCCTAGAAAATTCTTGTTGATGTTCATACTTAAAGAATTGAATATTATAATTAATTCTATTTAAAAATTGAAATAAAAATGTATGTGAAATCATTTCACATGTTATTTGATAAATTTTCTTAATTTCAGGTGGTTCATGGTGAAACACAAAAATGTTGTTAGGTTGAACGTAATCATTCATCAAGTTATTCTCAGTATTGCTTATTAACTGAGATGCGCTTATTTCTTTACAAATGATATGATATAATTGATTATCATTGCGTGGCGTATAAAAGAACGAATGTTCACTCACAGTTTCTTGAGAATGAGCTAATAAAGATGGATGAGATACTTGTTGATAATATTGCATAGGTAGTAAAGCATTATTTGGAGCTACTGCTTGAAGGTTGTGAGCTTGATTCTCATTCTGTGGCGTAGTTAGTGGCGGGATAATAGGGATCATTGTCGAAACTTGAGAGATATGATCGTCAAAAGCGACTGGAATGTCTCGCGCATCATTTACATACGATGAAACGTTGAGAGTAGTATCAAGTTGAGGAATAAATGAAGTATTGGTGAATGAAATTGAATTAATTATTGGATCTTCAAAATTTTGCATAGTAAGCTTGAGGACGTTGATATATTCTAAATAATAGAATTTAAAAAAGAAGTACAGGAATAAGAAACTTTTCAAAAAAAAAATTTTTCTAATTTTTGACCGTTTTTATATTAAATCTCATCTTCAATCAAGGACTGAAAGAAAAGGAATAATGCTTGGAGTTAGTGTACGGTGAAACAAAACAAATAAGTCGTCCAAAACCTTGTTGTAGATTACTAAGATAAGGCAGGATCGTAAAATTTGGAATAAGCTTTAGAATTGTGGACTCAGAACTGACTCAGGTTCAAACTAAGATGATAATGATAATAATATAAAAAAAAAGATAATAATAAAAAAGAGTTATATACAGTATATATATATATACAATAGATTAATTATATAACGTATTATAAAGGTATATTGAAAGTAAATGTTAAACAATTAATGAATGCAAAAATAAATTGTAATACTAAAATTAATGTCAATTTCAATAGATAAATTTTTACAATAAAATAAAATGATTTTCTTTGACAAACTGCTTTAGTTAGTTAAGTCAAATTGAACGTTTTTGAACGATTTACAAAGTAAATCTGGCTTTATATTGGAGTCTCTCTTTGAATCATCGGAATAGTAAATACCCGATTTAACCGAATTTATAAATAATAATAGTAATATTAAATCTATTTATGATAAATAAAAATTGGGTTATTTACCCACCAACCCACCAATTAAGTCAATTATAAGCATCTAAGATTTCCAAATTTTAGATGAAAAAGACCTCGACTGAATAAAAACGAATTCTTTCTTTTTTGACTCCCGTTCGGTTGACGATTCAGAACTGAGATCGTCTTGAAGAGACCATTTAAAATAGGTTGCGTTATGAGAAATTCTTTTTCCCGCAAAAAATAATGAAATTGCTCATTTTTTCGTAGAATTTTCCAAAATTTCAGTTAATTTATTTATAATCAATGAAGATAATTCGAGGGAAATTTTCAATTTTTAAGTTTGAACGCGAGTTTAATAAAGTTTATTTTTATTATTATAATAAACTTAATAATTTTTCCACAGTTATTTTCATTTGAAAATTCACTATATTTTCAACATTTTTTTTTACAAGTAAACAGTATTAAACTTAACTAATTTATTAATACAATTTATCTGATAAACTAATGAATTACGATTAATTGTTCAATCAAGATCTTGATAAATTTAATCCTAGTTCGATTATCAGTTGTAATAATTTTAAAATTTTCATTGTTCAAATAAATTGTTGCTTTTGGTGATATTAAACCAATTTTATAACTTGAATTCCCCTTATTTTCTTCCAATTCATCTATTCTAATCCATATTAATAATAATAAAGAAATTGGTAATATATTTTATTATACCTGCACTCGTATTGGGTTCGGCCTTACATTACCCGAATTTCTTTTGGGAAACCAAACCATTTTGAGATCTCTTTTCTTTCATACCTTATTGACTGTTAATCAAATATCAATTGGGAGATATATAGGTTTTATTTGTAAGCCTTCAAACATTCAGGATTCTTTTTAATTAGTCACACGAAGAAGTATATAGTATTAATATATATAATAATAGTTATAACGTACAAACCTGTAAATGTCGTTGAATTATTTGAATTATTTCCCAATTTCCTAATAAAATTGATGCCTGCACCACTATGTAATGAGACAACGCATAAGTTCCTGATATTTTTTCCTGTAATGAACTACCAGCCCTAGATACATAGTATAATACCGATTACTTTTGATGAGGCATCGGATTAGTCTCTCGGTACACATCCTAATGACACGAAAAAGTATTTAACAAAAATTAGTTCCATTTGGTTCTTATTTTATTGTTATCAATAATTATCGCCATTTTTTGAAAAAAAAAAGAAACCCGAAAACCGGACGAAAACCGGACGAAATATAGACAAAAAAAGGATGAAAACCGGGCGAGTATTGGTATTCGAATATACAATCACAAATAAACTGCGTACACCATTTTGAAAACGGCGATAATTAATATACCACTTCCACATACTGTATATTAGAGATTCCTCAGCTATAGGAGAAAAGGGAATACGAATCGCTTTACCAATACAAGATTGAATGACTGCTATTGAATATAAAGATCGCGCAATATTTCAATCAACAGTGATGCCAGTAAAATTATTCGTAGACTCACGTTGTGAATAAGTTCGACTTTGAAATGCATTATCATTTGAAAGTTACCTTACCGCCCAAATAAAACTGTAGGTTCCATAGAATAAATAAATCATTCCTTTGAAATCAGTATATTCAATAATATATGTATAAGGTAAAGCCAACAATGTGATTTAAATTTTTTTTTATTGTGTGAAAAATTATTTCCTTTTTTTTGCAAACTCCGGTCTCGCGCTACAAAGATTAAACAAAGAATCTAAACAAACAAAACAAACAAACAAATTTTATATGAACATACTTATTTCATGTTAAATAAATATATTTATGGTAAGTTATTGCCTTTTTTTAAGTTGATTGAACTTTCATTTTTATATCACTAAATTAAGTTAAGTTGGCAGAAAACATTTTGATCAAATCAGTTAGTACAATAATACAACAGACTACTTCTAAAACTCATTTTTTATAGTTAGTTACATATGCATAATTTAAGCATATCGGCGGGTTTTGCGTAATCATATGTCATTTTGACTATTATAAAAGAGTGAAAGTGTGAGACATTAAACAATAACATTGGACTTTCAAATTGTCTAATCATAATTGTGTAAAGTGAATAAAAATTTATTTTAAAAGAAACATAATTTTTTGCATTACAATACCGCATATGGTTCAATTTTATCAATTTATAAAATTCAATAAGGAAAATTCAATATAATATAATTTCTCAAGAAAATGTTTATAATTTCCCCAGAATATAAATAAAAAAAAAACTTTTTTTGTGAACGAAGAATACATGCACATATATATTCTATTATATACGAATTTATACGAATTTTGAAAAAAAATTTAAAATATATAAATAAATAAATAAAATTTTAAATGCTATCGATGAGTTCATCATGACGTTATTGGCAAAATATTTGTGCAGAATTAATAAACATTATTTTGCAGCCATTCCCTAATTTAGGAGTTTATGAATGATTCTTCAATTTGTCTTTATTGAATGAAATTATATTTGTCATGATGAAACGTTTTCCTTATATCGGTTCATTCATACAGCAGCAAGATTATCAATTTCACAGATAATATTAAGAGATCATCGAATCACGTGCTTATGTGAAAAATCATCGAATTGAACTTAAAAAAAATTTCCGAACAAAACTTTGTTCTTGGCTCTTTAAAGGTTAAAAGTATCTGATAATATGGATTTAAGTACAAGTTGTTATTTAATGAAATTAAATTTTTATTAATACCATTTAACCTTATTAATGTTCATGTATTTTCTATGCTAACATTCAAGTGCAAAAATATCAAATACTTTAGAAAGTAATAATTGAATTATTGTAATTTTATAATGAAATGAAAGAGCAAATAAAGTAGTTTCAATATGTAAAAAATTATGGTAATATATCAGAAATTTATAATGATATTAATTTCCCAAATATTTAAAAATATTTTTAAGGATATTTGCATATATTATTCCAGAAAGACTAATAAATGATTAAAATAGTAAGAGCCAAGCATTTGCCTTCTTTTTGAATATAATTCTAAGAAAATTTATTTGGTGATTGATGAGATATTAAACTTTTTCGTAAATTTCATTATTTTTCGTTTGAATTTCGTGATCACGTGATCACAATAAATGATCGTCATAAATTTCGGCTGCTGAAATTGTAGTAATCGCAGTAACAACACTAATTATTTTAATTATCTGTCAGTTAGTAATATTCAGTATATAAAGACTTATTTATAATACAATATGTTCATTAATTTAAATTTTTTGAGATTATGATTTTTTTACGTAAATGTATACATACAATAATTAGAAGTGACCAAAAATTAATTATACTTGTTAATAATTAAATAAATAAAATTTTGAGCTACTATATTAAAACTGAGAATCACAAATTTGTCGTTTGGAATTCATTCCTAACACTTTTAAACAAAAATTTCAAAAATTTCAAATTCTTTAAACAAGTTCGCGTTCAAAATTTTAATACATATTTGGCCGGTCAAAGAAAATTTTTAGATTTAGATTTTACTAATTCTCGTAATATCTATTTTATTTTAATTTTAGAAAGATGGTCAGGTAATTCTCGTTACTATATAATTTAAATTTTTAGCATCACGTGATATGTGAACATTTTTTTTATTGGCTGCTTATTTTAACCCATAAATGGGTAGTATTACAAAATACCAAAATCGAAATTTTTTTTAAGACATTTAAAATTTTAAAATTAAAATTCTGAATCAATTAAAAAAAAAAAATTTTTTTTTATTTATATTTCTGCATTACACTACACATTTATTTTAAATATTTGGCTGAGATCGCATTTACATTCATTGAATCTAGAATCACATGATATGCGGACATTTTTTATTGGCTCCTTATTCTAGCTCATAAAAGGTTAAGTTATTACGTACAAAATACCAAAAAAGAATTTTTTTTAAAAAAAGTTGTTTAAAATTAAAATTCCGGATTAATTGAAAATTTTTTTTATTTATATTTATGCATTACTACATTTATTTTAAATATTTGGCTAAGATCTCGTATATACTTCCATTGTTGCAACACAATTTAACTTTTGATTATTTAACCAAAAAAAGTTAAAAAAAATGGTGGGAAATGTCATTATGTCGGTAACGGTTTTAGAAATCAATATGCCGCTAAAATCCTTGAAAAATATGTACAAAACAATTTAGAAACATAAATTATTATGCATCGTGTACCATAACAAATAAACACATTACGAATGAAGTACCATATTATGCTAATAGTAAGCACCCCCGAAATAATCATCAACTGGCCAGAATTATTACGATTTTGGCCAGAATTATGAGGATCTTAGCCGGGTGTTTACATACCGCAAAATATGGTAATCTTTAGTTACACGAACTCTAATTACAGTAGGTTCATTAAAACAATCAATATTCTTTAACATTCTGAAATTAGCTTTTTCCCGCAAAAATGCTCATTTTTCGTGATTTTATAATTTATAATCAACGAAGATAATTTGGGGAAAATTTCCAATTTTAGAATCGACTTTTTTTATAGGGTATATACAGTATTAGCGAAACTCACCGGATGTTCTCCAAATTTTACTGGTCTCGCTTTATCAATACAAGATTGTGTTGAATATAAATATCGCGCAACATTCCAATCAGCAGTAACTCCGGTAAAAATATTCGTAGACCCAGGTTGTGAGAACAAGTTCTTTCATAATCCGTCTAATCAATAAAAATAGCTTCGATTATTTAACATTTGAAAGTTATCATAACATCCAAATAAATTATAGGCTCTGTGGCGTAAATTTTCCATTTATATTCGATAACATAAGGTAAAGCCAACATATAATTATATTATTATTAACAAATATGAAATCAATACTATTGCAGTCGATGCCGCATTGCTGCTATACTGTATTCTGACATTTCCACTGAAATTACGTCGACAAACTCCATTAGCTTCGCCTCCACTGCCATCACCAGATGAATCAATTAAATGATCCAATTTACGACATTTTCTTTATTTTCTTATATATATAGCATCATTAGAGGATGATGTATGATCTGAATGATCTAATATATTGGAAGAAACTTTAACGGTAAAATGATGCATGTTTTTATGTGATATATCATGAAGTGATTCACGACTTATTTATTAAAATGCTAATAATGATCAATCTATTTAGTTTAACATAACAATATAAATAAATAGTAAGTACTGATTCTATTTTGGTACAATTGATAATAAACAAACCAAAAAGAATTTTGAATTGGATTTTATATGGTTTAATATATTGATCCGAATGCTCACGTTATTACATCCCACGTGATTTTGAATTTCACAGTAAATTTTTCTGATTCAAAAATTTATTAATTATCTTTAATACAAAATACTTCTTTGTTTAGATCTATTGAAAATTTGTATACTTATTTTTAGTATTAACGTTGAGGAAAAAGAAAAAGGGGAAACTTATGATAATTGAAAAAATTTTAGCTAGTATTATAATAATATAATCCGCGGATATGTTCCAATTGTTCCATCCATCAAACCATAGTACCGCGGATGGCGGATAACATGTTTGATCCGGATATTCGTATATGCGAATGACATATATCCACCGGATGACGGATTGTATTTTGGTAGTTATAGTAAGCGGTGAAATGGTCAGAACTATTATAGTTAAAAAAATTATATTAGATATCAATTCGGTTTAAATAAGACGAACCAGAACGAATCAGATTATGGTTTTATTCAAAATTGTAAGTTCAATTATTATGTCGCCGTCATAGAAAGGTTTGATTTGTGTATAACCTTTTGCGGTATTTTAACAGGTTTTTTTCATAAGAGTTTGCATATTTTTTAATACAAATTTGACATAGAATCTATGTATTACAGTGCGATAATAATTTGTTTTTATTATACTAATACAATAAATTCATTATAATATTAACCAATGAAAAAGTCATAACAGATAAGTCAGGCTATTTGAGCGTAAGGAGTAATTTTGTAATACATGACTAATTTTTCTTAAATACAAGGGGTAAATGTCCCTTGTTTATTTACTCGACAAATATTTCATCATATATATATAAAAAATTTTTTTTTCTGTATTAAAAAATTTTTTTATAATTAGACTCTATCATAACTATATTCATTTTCATTTATTCCTTCGTTTTTATTGCAAGCAAATATGTCCACAAAGATAACTAAATAATAAAAATAACATAGATGATAAATAAACTCCTTCAACGAATAACAAATAGGAGTTTGTAACGTGTAGTGATAAAACGAATTATATTTTTACACGAAAACATCTTAAAAGTATACATCCTTATCTAATTCATTTAATGATTTAATAATTTTATTTATATGCACAAAATCAGTGTTCAGCAAATGCTTGAAAAGTCAATGACAAATATTTGTAAAATTTTATTACAGCTGATTTTAAAAAGGTCGGGACACTTAGAAAATTTTAAAGAACTCGGAAATATCCGGTAAAGCTCAAAATATGATCACCATTCTCAGAATAGTACTCCAAATTAGCGTATAATTTTTATTTTATATCAAGCTTTACCAAATATTTCCGAGTTCCTTAAAATTTGCTAAGTGTCCCGACCTTTTTGAAATCAGCTGTAAAATTTTGAAATTTTGAATATTCCTGCGGAGTGGAGAATTTAGAGATCCAAATATTGCAACTTACTAATTGTATGTAATATATAATAAATTTTTAAATAAAGTGAATTTATCTGTTATAATCCGCGGCTCAACTAGCTGGCATTTTACATAACGGCTGACGTATAAACAAAACAAACAATAAATATTAATATTATTTAAATTTTTCGAAAACTCCGGAATTATATATTATATTAAAGATTACAAGGTAATCCGTACCGATACTATAAGGAAAACAACAATATAATGCCGACCGGAATTATCTAAAGAAAAAATTAGTCATATATAACACGTGCTTATAAATATTCAGTTATCCCGTTCCAACGTGACAGAAACTTTCGCTCTTTTCTTTGACCTTTTATTTTGAAAAAACTGAAACTTACACCTCTTATCTTTGAAATACACCTTCTTCTTGTTAAGAATGTGGTAAGTTTCACTTCTTTTTCTTCTGAACTATTAATTTATTAACAGCTAAATTATTAAAAACGCTGAAACGCTAATACAAAATTATGATTTGGTTGGTTACGGAGAACAGCGAAACATACTGCATGCAGTAGTCAGTACGTTAATCCATCTATTTTTGCGCGCCAGCCGTAGTTTTAATGCATGAACGTACAGGTACATCGATATAAAAAGATACATTATATAAATATATAAATAAAATTCATAAATATAAAAATAAAGTTAAGTAATGATAAGAATTTAAGAAATAGATTTTACGTTTAAGTTATATAAAATATTTCGTCCTTTTTCTTTGAAAAAAAACTTTAAAATGCCTTTCCTCTTTTTAGGGATACTTGGGTGCATTATTTAGGATTTCTTTTGTTAAACATTGTAAGTTTCTCATGGAGTTGAATATTTTTTATTTGTCGAATATTAATTTTTTTTAACATTCCTTCTTTTTAAATGTTTCTTTTTGTTTAAACACTTCTTTCTTTAGGAGTATTTCGTTTTAGGTCTTTTTTTCTGGAGTTGGCACTTTAACTTTTGTGGAGTGTTAGTTGTTTTGTAATGTTAGAACTTTTAGTTTTTCGTTTAAATGAGTTTATATTGAAATATTTAATAAATTGGTAATTTATAAAAAAATGTATATAAGGATCATTTATATAAATAAACTTTTTGAAGTTCTTTTTTATTTGAAAAATTTAAATTAATTCTGATAAATGTTGCGCAAAACTTGTGGCGAGCTGACAATCATATTTAAGAAAAAGGAAGTACAGGATAATTTTTTGTTTATAAAGCATCGCGTGATTTTTACATTAAAAAAATCAATTTCAGATATTTTATTATCAAAAAAAATTTTTTTATGTTAGTCTTTCTTGATACATCATACCTAATATATCTTACCGAATCCATTTACTTTCTATTTTAATAACAAATGATATATAATATATTTATTAATTAAAATAAAATAAAAGTAATGAAATTCATTGCATTAATTTGATTAGTTACGATTTAAAAATAGTAATAACAATCAGTTTAATTAATTTAATTCACCGATATATTAATTACCAATTTCATTTTGGTGCGTGAATATACCATAGAATAACTACTTTTACTTATTGCTTCGATAATATTAAAACTGGTTATATGGTATCCACTTATTTGTCAAATTTAAACATCCATTATAATTTTGTAGCGTTTCTTTGTTATTAAATGATCTCGCTCTCAAAGCAACCTTATTATTATAAGAAAGGACGGAATGGAAGATGAGCGAGAGGATGAAATGAAAAATGCCAAGGAAAAAGGTGGATAAAAGTAAATAATATAAGAACGTGAGAGAAATAGGAATAATAAAAGTTAGGTAGCGTCATTTATTACGTAATATCAGTTTCATCCCCATGTGTTTAAAGCAATTATTTTGTTGATAAATTAAAGTAAAAAAAAAGCATTATAAATTTGGCCAAGAATTACATAAGGTTTCGGGCATTTTGGATAAGGGTTTACGACCGCTCTTGTTTTGTTTGCTCATTGAAATCAGGGAATAATTAGGGAATCTTGAGTGACACAAAATTAAATATTTTTATTGGTTAAAATTAGTATTATATGTATAATTGAATATTATTGGTTAAAAAAGATCTTACCTGAGTAATGCTCCTTATAAAACTAATATTAGCTAATATATGTCACTGCTCTAACAATTAAAATATAATATTTGATCACATGATTTTTATTGATTTATAATCGACAAAATATTTTTTTTTTCCGATACACTCTATGGTATACTCTTGCTTACTATCACCTTGATGCGTTATTTATAATTTTGTATTATACGTAACTTGATTTAATATGTTCGTGCATCTAGACAGAATTCAGATAATCAATTTCATCAACTTCATGCAAGAACTCGGATAAAAGTTTCGAATTGTGTGTTATTGCTTCAGTTTACTTTATCAATTCAGCAAATATCGGAGGAACAATACCTTTATTTAATATTTTTAGAGTTAGATTCTTTTGTTTAATTTCACTATAAAAACCATTTCAGTTTTCTTTACTATCTCCTACTTCATTTTTACAATATCATTAGTTGATTTTTCTAATTTTAATCGAGATATTATTCTTCATTTCTTCATCAAAGAATGATTAATAAAAGAATTCAACGAATTCAACGTCAAAGACGTAGAACTATTAGAAGAATATATAGAAGATATGCACCTTTTAACACAATTTTAAATCAAATTGCACAATTACCATTACAAACTACAAATGATCCATTTGCAGTTCAATTATTCAACGGATCTTCCTTCTATTAATAAAAATTTTTTTATTATTATTGTTATTAAATTTAGTAAGTATGATTCTATATTTTGCGTGATATAACTATAAAATTCTTAATTTTAACTAATTTTGTATGTATTAAAAGCAGTCAGTGTATGGAGTTAAATATATGGTACTTTTCCGATTTTTTATATAAAAACTTCCGGATAGATCCACAAACGAGATTTTTTTCGTTGGTAGAATTATTTATTTTATTTATTTTATTTTATTATTTTCAATTTTCACATTCATATGTTATACAATTATTTTACACAAAATTTAATGATTTATCATGAAGTTTTAATATCTTGAAATTGGAAACAGAGTAAGGAATGATCGCTAAATACAATATTTCCTTGCGAATTAAAGTATGACTTATCACAATTTACTTTAGAAAACTTACAAAAATTAGTAA